TCCATTTAACCTTTTGTCCCTTAAAATTTAATTTGAACTTTTGTCCATTCGACCTTTAGTCATATATTAGTTCCGAAAATTTATGAATTTTAAATCAAGCATCGACATTACGGTATGCTGAGACAACAGAACTAATGAAAACGGTGATATCCAATGGCAAAATAATTGGAAAATAATATCATAAATCTAAAAACATTACATTTTTCTAAATTAAAACAAAAAAAAAAAAACAATATAAAACATCGACATTAAGGTTTTGCTGAGGGTTCAATTTTTGTTCATCTTCTTTTCCTTTATTTACGTCGGTCTCTGTTCCGCAATCTAGTGCCAATCACCGACGGACATCGATTGCCATCCATTGACGGCAATCGAGTGTGTAGGAAGGCAGCATCCACACCTGCGTAGGATATCGCACCCATTCAACACACATGGGCCTGGACCAACGGCTTTACTTCCCTTCCGAAGGAAGACGTGACCAGAGATTTTTATGCCTCAGAAAAATCCCGCAGACCTCGACTGGGATTGAACCCAGACCTATTGGGGTGTTAGAAAGCAGCCACGCTTACCACTACACCACCGGCGCCGGCAATTTTTTTTTTGTTCATTATGAGATAAAAAATATATTTACGTGTACATTTTCTCAGGGATCTATGGAAAAAAACTGATTTTCTTCGATTTTGATATTTTTTTCAATATTTTTAGAAAAATAAAAACGACCCGAAAAAAATATTTTCAGGGCAAAAACTTCCCCGTAAAGCATTTTTTGAGTTTTTTTTTCAAGATTTCACTGAATCAAGCCAAGAGTATGTCGGATTAAGGAGAGCCGATGTGGGGAGATACCATAGAGGTAACTCTAACACTAATCGGTACCGAAGAAACGTGCTCAACTTTTTGGCTCAGCTCTGGTACTATCTTCGGTCCCAAGCTAATCGATGCACCCCTCGAAACATAGGAAAATCCACGAACCCCTCATTTTATCTGTCAAACGTTCATAGCGAATCAAAACAAACATAGTGCATTACTAGAGTTTCGACTAGAATGGGGTACGTCAATCGATTTACTTACGGCTAGTCAAGTAGTGAGCCAATTTAAAATCGATAGTTTCATATTGATTGTTGGAGATACTGTATACGCAGCTAGTACCGCAAAATGTACAATTTGAGGTACTAGCTTCAAAGAGTACAGTGGTGAACTTTGTGCCTCTTTCGAAGGCCTTAAATGCATTAATGCTAAATATGTAATATATCATGCAATTTGGCGTACTTTCAATTCCAGCTGTTTATTATACTTACCCCGTAAGAGAAAAACGGGATTTTTTTTTATTTTACGGGCCCAGGACAAGCCTTCATTCCATAACTATGCTCAAAGCAACAATCTGAAGGATAATTAAATTAAAAAGCAAAAAATAACTGAAGAAACCATAGTATTATCATAGAGGTAACTCTAAGACTAGAAGGTCCCGAAATAACATGCTCAACTTTTTGGCTCAGCTCTGATACTCTCTTCGGTTCCAAGGTAATCGATTCACCCCTCGAAAAACCAATAACCCCTTATTTTATCTGTCAAACTTTCATAGCGAATCAAAACAAACATTGCGTAGTACTAGAATTTCGACTAGAATGGGGTACGTTAATCGTTTGCTTGGGACCAATAGGCTAGTCAAGTAGTGAACCAATTTAAAATCGTTAGTTTCGTATTGATTGTTGGTATTATTATTGCCATTCGATGGCATAAGAAGATGAAACTCGGTTCAATTTGTATGGATTTATTTCATTTCACCACGAAAATCATAAATTAGCTCTTTTCATATGGCATTCAGAAAGTCATAGAAAAAGGACACGCCGCTTAGCTGGTGCTAGAACTATCTTTTGACAGAAGTATCCTAGTAAAACAATAATCTTAGGACGTTGGGACGATGAACGTTAGGACGATGGTCGTTAGGACGATGGACGTTAGGACGATGGACGTTAGGACGATGGACGTTATGTTGAAAAACTTTAGATTGAAGGACGTTAGGACGATGGACGTTAGGCCGAAGAACGTTAGGTTGAAGGACGTTGGATGAAGTGCGTTGCACATAGTTACTAGGGAAAAAATCTGGCCAAAATTGTGCAATGCTTTTTTGAGTGATATTTTGCATTGAATATTTAATAATGAGTCGAATTATAAAAAAAAACAGGAGTCTGGATAAGTTCTCACAACTAATATGTCCAGAACAACTTGAAGTTTCATTCGTTCAATGGTCGAAAAAAAATTAAACTCTAAATTATGTACTTCCCAAAATGTGTAAACATCATTTGACATAGAAAATTTCAAATGAAGTTTTGAAAGTTAGCGGGGGAATTTTCTCCAACTAATTTAGGTAGTGATAATTTTGAAGTAAAAAAACATTAACCACCAGTGGACGAAATACTTTAGGACAAATGATAGCAGTGAGTTTAAATTGATGTACCTGCTTTGCATAATACGAGAGTATTAAATAAATCGGATAAATTGATTGTATTACTTCATTCGTGAAGTTAACGATTTACATAGTTGGAGATGCTTAACGTCAAATATCAAACTTGAAGTGGTCATTTTATACGATATATGAGGAGGAAAGTTTAGAGTTGATAGTTCCGTTAGAGTACGGCAGTGTGAAAATTCTATATAGATAGTAGAAAGCGAGCCAAGGACAATTTTGAGAAAGGTACGATAGAACTCGATTGATTTACACTCAAGTCGCCATCTGATTTTCCATCAATCATAGCTTACTAGCTTACCATCAATCATAGTGTCATTGGTCGAAATGTACAATAGCAGCACCTCCACCCGTGTTTTCTTGACATCGTTGATGACAGGAGCACATACAGAGGTAGAGGCAACAATAGCTGCAATTTCCAAACCTATCGATTAGCTGCTTACGGAACTATCAACACTATACTTTCATCTCCTCAGATATCGTTTAAAATGACCAATTTAAGACTGATATTTGACGTTAAGCATCTCCAACTAGTTATGTCGTAATACTTGTCATTTTTTTTTAATGCATATTAAGTCGTATATGATGTCAAATTGAATCACTAACAAAGTAATTTGCACGTATATCTTCTTGGCATTTCACGCTTCTGTAGCAAGCTGTAAAGGATCTCATCTAACTGATTTAGATTCACTGCTACAACATTTTTTTTATATTGTCGCGCTTATGCTAAAATCTCATTTGGTGACAGTCGAAGGATTCTACATAGGTGTGTACTTTAGATAGTATTTTATAGCAATGGCTTGGGGAGCGAATCTTGGATAAAGAGTCACCATGTGTCAATCAATGGGCGCATGTTACCGAAAACATCATGTGACAATAAGCATTCATGACCGAGAAATGATTTTACAAAAAATCTTCTCAAAATAGCTTTTTTTATTTTTCGCTGGATATGCGCCTCTATGCATATGCACTGCCTCTTAAGTGTTTTGCTTTTTGCTAGATGTTATGTAGGTTGCATACATTTATGCGCTATCCGTACGTTATTATTTCGGAATGTATACGTTTAGTTTGCATTTAGTACACTTTTATAAGGTTCCCACTATCTGTAGCTCCTGCTTTTCGTAACTCATAACAGCAATTTAAACGTCAAAGGCTGTTAAAGAGAACTCAACTCAGAACTTTGCACATTAAAAATGATAATTTGTGATCGAAAAGCATTCTGTTTTCAAAACAGATCACGAAGCTGGTAATGCAGCAAATTGATTCATATATCCCATGTTAGGAATGCTCTTATTTTTGCCTATTACAACTCTTACAAATCGTTGAACAAATCTTACATAGACATTAAGAGTCCTGACTGGGAAATCCCGGGACAAAAATCCCGCGATCAGAAAAATCCTGGATTTCATGAAAATTGAGAATTTATAACCATGAAAGCTGTTAAAACTAGCTGGAAGAGCACAACAAAATGCTGGAGCAATTTATCAATCTACAGAATTATTGAGTAAATACAGCACGCAATAATTGTAGATTGGTGAATTTTTGGTTGTATTTCGATAAAATTCATCTTCATAACAACTTCATAACCTATATATCAAGTTTGCTGAGTTACCTGATATTTAACAATGGATGGATTGACTAGAGCGATGGGACAATTGGCTGGTTCTAATTTACCCAAAAAAAACTGTCATCTGTTTTGCGCATTGCCTTCCGTTAAACAGCTGCTAAAATGAACAAGAACAACATCAATTTGAATACTGGAATTAGTTAAATGTAAACGATAGATGATGTTTATTCAAACAGAGCTTTCTCAGGGAAGAACCTGCCAACGACTGAAATTATGTTTAACCTAACCTAAAAGAGCTTTCTCCTTATGAGTTGATTGGAGACTTGACGCACGGTTTGAAAATCGTATTAACTGGTATGAAGAAAAAGTGAACGGATAGTAAAAGAGTTTATTTTATCGGATTCCTCAAACATTTTCTCTAAAATTACATCATTTCTCTCCGATAAAAGCTAAATTCAATTTACTTCTTAAAATCTTATTTAAAGAAAACTGACTACTAGTTAAGACTGATATGTATCCAATTTTTAGTCCTATGTATGACTTTTTCTCAAGCTTCGATATTGCATAAATGCACCATTTTTGGGGAAATAAGTAAGTTTTAAGCATCTTGAAATTTTTCCCGGGATTTCCGGGGTTATGAAAAAAAAAATTCCGTGTCCTAGGATTTTTTCAAACCCGGAAAACTGGACCCTCTACATTGAAAGGTACTCAAATAAACTTTTTTTTTTATTTTTATATATTTTTGTTTTTGTGAGCAGAAATAGTAAATTATTAGATTAGAATAGCAATTAACCCCAAAATACTACGTGTAGGTGCAATAAAAGTTGCTCAAAGTGTCTATTAACGGAATATCGTGGAGAAATGGTGATGAACAACTTTTAATACTGAAGAAAGATGTTGCGACAAAAATAAATCAAATTTTTATTCGTAACCTGCAGTTCAATTGCTTCCTTCCATTTTTTTTTTCTGCAGAAACATCGGAACTATGTGACGTTCAACCGGTAGAGATGTTGCAAGACCAGGCCCAGTGTGTGCTGTCGGACCACGTACGAGTGCGCTACCCCCGTCAGCCAACCCGATTCGGACGTCTGTTGCTTCTGCTGCCGTTGCTGCGGACGATCCGCTCCGTAACCATCGAAACTCTGTTCTTCAAAGAAACCATAGGTACCGTGCCAATCTCTCGTCTTCTAATCGATATGTATCAGATGGAAAAGTACACCGAACTCGAAGCTGGCATGACTGGAGTCAGCAACGGTACCGTTCCAATGAAGCATTAGTCAAGCGGTCTGGGAAAAAAAGATCGTCCCGCACCGAACCGCTTATACAAATTTTTAATTTGAAAAAACATCTAGAGAAAATATGTTTTCCACCCATTTCCTTCCCACGACATGCATGCTGCTTCAGACCGTGCATGAGTGCGCAAAGCCGAAAGCAGATAAAAGTTCAACATGTTCAAAAGAGCAACGGAAGCAGCATAAAAAAGATGTTTTCCCAAAGCGCTGCGGGATATTTGAGTTTTATCTGACAGTGCGAAACGGAATCTCCACTCACCAGAAGCGATGAACCATTTCCGCTCATTCTTCGGTCGGTAACTTTGCGGGTGGAAAACAGAACCACCTCTGCCACACTACATTACAACAGTCTCAAAATCAAGTCCCGAAGACATAGCAGCATCTGGCAGTCATGCGGTTGCACCATTTTTTAAGGAATAAACGGGGACGGTCAGACTTACTGCTGTTGTGAGGAGTGATTTTTTTTTACGTTTTTAACTGAATTGGCAAGATAGCAATTTACATTTGCTGATATTATTTTTCAATCTGTTAAACAAATGCAATCTTCTTTCCTTTCAAAATAGAAAAAATGAGTAAAGAATTGATTGTAGAATAACAATTACTGGCACCAAGTCAGCATTTTGAATGGAATTCCTACACACGAGGACTTGTATTAGTACTCTACAAAACAATAATTCGCTAAAAACCCGTACTCGAAAAATCGAAACACACACACTTCCCTAAAGTGATGTTATAGTCTAGTCAAACGATCCAAACGGACGAAAACAATAAATGCCATAAATCCTAAGTCGTGAATGATAAAAAAGAATATTGAAATTTGTTGAAGAGATGTAGTAAATTTAATGTATTTGTATGGAAACACGCTACTAATAAAACATAAATCGTCATTATATGAACATAATCAAAAATATAACCGCACACTGTAAAATAAACCTAATGATTACTAAATTAAAAGTTACGATTCAAATTACACAAAATAATGTCTTCATTCAATGAAAATGATCACACTCCTCTAAACGTTCGGAAATTCTAATAATGGTGGTTATAATAACCAATTGTATCCCAAGTGTTGCACCATATTACATCGAAGAGGATGCACTTCAATCTCATGTAATTTTTATGGCCACAAAATAAACAAATGCAGTAAAAGCAGCGTAATGTCCATTCATGCACTGGATTAATGGTAATTTTATCCTTTTTGTCCAGTAATAATACACAATATTTTCGACACGATTGAAGTGCATCCACCTTGATGTGATATTATTCTTATTTTTTTGCTGTGTGTACCTTCCATAATTCCAGACCCTTCTTATAGAAATCATCATCCACGAACTTGAACCGGCTATTGGAATGCAGTTTCAGGACATCGTTTTCACTCGTTTGTTCTCCGCAGTTCTCTCGCAGGACAAAGTCAAACGCACACCTTTTGCCTAACCCGTACGATGTACGCGGAGATTTGAAGTATGTCTTCAAATCTACAGGCAAAAAGTGTGCGCCCGCCTTTGCTCATTACTGTCTGCGGCTGTGGAATAGTTCTAGCGACGTTTCATCACTATCCATAGCCCCACGTTGCCGAGAGCATTTCCTGTCGATGGTATGTTATAATGCAATTCTTCTTCACTCAACTATTGTGTTGCTACTCTCGTCATGACCAACGTGGTACGTGGTCATCTCAGAGAGACGTACTGTCGCATTAATGGTCCTTCGCTCATATTCAACTTCTATTCAATTTTCATACTGCCGTACTATAACGGAACTATCCACCTACCCTCTTCTATGATCATTCTCTAGCTAATATATTATCACACTAAAGCTTCATGTTAGATAGCATTTCCAACCAACTCTGAAAATCGCAAACTTCGCGTATGAAGTAACATAAAAACACTTTGAATGTAAAAATACTGTTAAAAACCCCATGGGTATTTTTTAATCGGGGTGACGTGTATGAACCGAAAATAGATGTCTGACGCCATTTTGAAATCCAAGAGAGCGGCTTCCGGTTTCAAAAAATCCTGGGAAATAATGTCAAATACTCCACAATATGGGTAATTTTGGAATCGGGGTGACGTGCAGGCATCGGAAATCCATATCTGAAGGCTTTTTTTAATCCAATATGGCAGCTTCCGGTTCAGAAAAACTAGGAAATACTAGGTTCCGATTCTACACATTGTAGTTTCATTTTATACCTGGGATCTTGACATTTTTACCAACACGGTAACCAGCGTAAAAACATTAATGTGTAAAATTTCAAACATTTCGTGAAAAAAGGGGCCTGCTCATAACATGTGTAAACTGCGTTTACACATTTGTCTGTAAACACAGCAAACGTCAATAGAAGTGTATTTTTTACACATTTTTCAAGAACGGTTTTAACATGTGTATAAATTAATCATTTCTAGAACTTAAATATAATGGGTACGCATGGTTTTTTTATTAACTTCGGAATTTTCTTATTTGTGTCAATGATGAAAAAGATTGCTCGAATAAAATAATATTTTATTTAAAAAAAGAAATGCCATCAACAAAAAGAAGTAGCGGCACCAGTGGTGTAGTGGTAAGCGTGATTATCTCTCACCAGAGCAGGCCTGGGTTCAATCTCAGTCGACGCTGCCGGGATGTTCCGAGGCATAACATCTCTGATCGCGCCGAGGATCACGCCTTCCTTAGGAAGGGAAGTGACCCCATTGGTCCCCGGTTCAAGAGTCGATGGGTCGATAGGTAGGGTCCAGGTATGAGAGCTGCCTCCCTGGCGTCGGTAGCATTGGTGCTCAGCACGGAAAACAAATCAAGGGAAGAAAAACAAAAATCAGTATATGAAGCAAGCAAGCGAGACACCGGACATTGATTATGATTTTTTTTTTCTTAAACTAAGCTAAAACTAAAAGCTATGAAAAAAGTATAAATCACCTACCTACCCTCCAGCATATCCATTGTTGAGCACTGTTCAGTTTGGACTGTAGTTCCTCAATTTTCCTGCTGTTCTTCACTGAAAATATAGCAAATAGCGTGCGTCAACAAAGCAGGATGCAGCAAAGTTTGAAGTTTTTTTTACCCATTAATGAGTGTATATATATTTTTTGACTGATACACCGTGTACTCGCATTATGATTCTTCTGATGAATCTCAAAGATTGTCTTCAGATTGAATCACGTCGTCGATATCTCTTTCCTCCCCCCCCCCCTTATTGTGCAAATTACTGACTTCAGCTGGATCCAACATATCGAACTCATCTACGCGTGGCATTTGATCAACTTACTTTCCTTCCGAAGATAGACGTATTAGGAAATTTTACAACTTAGGAATTCCCAACGATCTCGGCTGCGATTGAACTAAAACATATTTGGGTATTGAACAGTCACGTTTGCTGAACAACCCCTAACGTCGTTTGAAAATCAAATACGTTGTGTTATTGTAGTTCATTATTGCTGTTGTTAAAAATGTCAAAGGAAATTTATGAATTTTTCCCTAATAAGTATAAATAATCGCAATTCCACGTAAAAAAAACCTATCGCAAAAAAAATTGATCAGATTTAACTCAAACGTTGTGAATTTGTTAAGAGTGCACCTTCGAGAGGGTCAAAAAATTGTCATTGTTGACTATACAGAAAATTTTAAACTCAAAATAACATTTAAAATTAACAATACACATTTTAACATTGGGCCAACACAGTGCACTATTCCGAGGACTATTCATCCTTTTGCGATTTATTATACGGACGAATCGAAAAATTTAAAGTTTGCAATTTTGTAGCGGATGAGGGATAAATTCGCCGCCGCACGAAGTTTTGTATCAGTCTAAGGGTCTGTCCATAAACTAGGTAGACAGTTTAGGGGGGAGAGGGGTTGGCAATTATCAACGGTCCATACAAATTAAAAAAAAAATGTACGGGTAATTGTCTACGCAGGGGGAGGAAGGGTCTAGAATCCCAAAAAACTGTCTACGTAGTTAATTAACAGCCCCTATTAACCATCGGGGAACCGGCGAAAGTCATTGTGTACAAAAACACCCTTATTCCAGCTCCATCTAGGTTTGTATTTCACTTGCTGTTGCTATTCGTCTAAGTGGGTTGATCAGGTGTAAAGCAAGGCAAACCACCCACTCATAGTTGAGCATTTGCTTCACGTTGAGCTTGTTGTCAATTTATGTTAATATTAATAATGCATTATTTCTAGGAACCATGACAACATATCGAAACGACTGTTTTTTGCCTTTCCACAACCGGTATTTCAGTATCGAATATTTAGCCGGAATTACCAATATTACCGGTTTCGGTACTACGGTTTCGACCACCCTACTGGGCTCGCTTTCGCATATCGTGATGAACAAATGTAGGGGTACCTATAGACACTGTATATAGACCGGACAATGTAAAATCATGCAATCTGGTAGCCCTGATAAATATCATTAATTTGAAAAATAAATCTGGCATCACTTGAATTTGTTCAAACTTTCAGGGAGCAGCTCAAAAAGCCAAGAAAAAGATTTTTGTTTTTGTTTTTCCTTTGCTTTTGTTTTGATTCCATTCGTGCATAGAAGCTGTTAAATAAAAGTGCAATTTTCGCCTCTGAGAGTTGGAAAATCTTCCATAAACAGTTCATTGAAGTGCGGAAGCGTATCATCCTTCCCGGCAATGCTAAAGTTCTCGAGTCAATCGCCGTTACCGAAGCACCGTGCCAACAGCAGCTTCTTGCTTCGATGTTAATGTAATTTGCATCCAAGAATCATCCAACACTACGGGGCAACCACGGTTTCCAGTGGGTTTCCGGTACTACAGTAATGTCTCCTCCACTAGTTTTTCAGTCGTCGTCTCTACCGTGCTCTACCGTACGTTATTCAGTCGTCGTCATACATCATCAGCTGGAAAATTGTGAAAGTTAAAATAGAGGCTCATACTAATTTGAAATTATACCTATCGTACTGTTGACACTCCCATAAAATGTTTGCTTCTGGCAGATGGACCTCATTTAGCCAGGTGGTTGGGAACGTTTCCCATGGGAATAGAAAAAAAAACAATTCAAGAAACTTATTGATGAATCGAGAGCAGAGATTCAAATGCCAGTGGTCGGATGCTGTTTTAAAACATTAGCTGGGTAGAGTAAACGCAAACCGTAGTGGATGTTGAAATTGTAATCCTGTTGAGAGAGAGGAACCTTTTCACTATCACAAATCCTGCCGCGTACAAATAATATGTTGGAAAAACTTACATTGAGAGAAACAAAATTTTACTAGGTGTTCGCCTCTGTTTATATTTTGCTTTTTGTCAAAACAGCACTAGATCACAATACTTGCTCCTTTGAAGCAAACCAAAGGATGACAGTCCGTTTGGTTACACTTTTTGACAGTTCGTTTGGCTGCATAAGACAAACGTTGTCCAATCCATGGTGGGTATATAAATGGTGATACAGCTTTGTCACTATATAGGCGAGGAGGTCGCGGGGGGGAAAAGTGCGGTTTTAGTGCAAATTGTAAACAAACTCGGTCGCTGTCCCATACAAAAATCCAACATGGCTGAATCATGAATTTGACACATTAGAACACCTATATGTA